TTTACAAAGTATGCAAAACCAATGCAGCATCTGGATTGCGTCGCGCCCTGATGTACATGTTATGATAAAACTGTTCTTATCACTGTTTAGATTTCATTTAAGCTTTAAATTTGTATAATCATTATTGCGTATTAATGTTATGATCACATGAATGTAGGTCCCCGAGGACTGTTTTGAACTTGTTAATTAAATAATCGGTGATTAACTATTCATATTTTTTTATGAACAATTATCTTTAGCCAACAAATTTCCTATTTTGTTTTAGCGAATTTCCCATATAGGGAAAAAGCTATTACCATAGTACTCATGGTAAGACCTGGACCCGGGACTGATTTACTTTTTCGTTTTGAGGTCCCTAGAGACCAAAAAACCACCCGTTCAAATTCTTATATATATATATCTACTAGCTGTACCCGCGGGCTTTGCCCCGTTTAACTTCTTAATTTTCAAGATGATCTCGTTCGCATGGCTCAATCACGTCCTGGTTGAAGTTCGTTCGCTACGCTCACTCACCTTTAGGTTGGAGCTCGTTCGCTGCGCTCACTTGCCTTCAGGTTAGCTCGTTCACTACGCTAACTCGTCTCCAGGTTGAAGTTCGTTCGCTACGCTCACTCACCTTTTGGTTGCAAATTAGCTGTTTCATAAATTAAAATAAATAATAGTGCTGCACCCTGTTGGTAATCCTTGTAACTTTAATGCTTTTGAACATCATAGAACAGAACCAGCTTGTTTAATTGAAACAGCTGTTAAGATTCATTAATTCCTTTTAAATAGAAAAATCATAAGGCTAACATGGGAAACTTCAGAGCCACTGGGGCGGAGCCCGAGAGTCCGATCAGAATAAAAACAACTTAGTTTTCCTATTTAATGCCTAAAGAATCAATGTACCAAATTTCAGCCTCCTAGGTAAATGGGAAGTGGGAGAATTAGTGATGAGTGTGTCAGTGAGTCAGTGAGGGCTTTGCCTTTTATAAGTATAGAAGATATATATATTTATAAATGTGTCCGTTAGCACGATAACTCGAGCAAAAATCATCCGATTTTGATGAAATTTGGTACAAAGTGTAAACCTACGTTTATTCGAACGAGTTCGCGAACCATCATGATCGGACTATGGGAACGGAGGTCTACGGGGTAAAAATTGGTTTTCCTCATTTTTGACCATAAAACTTAAAATTTAGCAATTTCTTTCAAACCATTTTATAGAGCTTAAAAAACAAATCGTTTAGTATATTGAAGCGTTATTATGCGCCTAATGGTTACGGAGAAAATTCCAAAAAACTGTAAATTTTAAATTCCCTTGTTATTCTTATGGAGAATAAATAAACTGTTGTAGTTTGCTTGTTTATGAATATATTTTGATCGAATTTGATAAATACATTTATTTCTTACTAAACTATTAACATTTTACACGAAAAAACACTTTTTTACCCTCCCTGTTGCAGCAAACCTAAGTAGGCTACTCGTTAAACTAATTCCATTTAAATAGAGGATAAATGTGATATTTTTAAGGAGGCATATTAGTGTAAGTCCAATCAGGCATATGGTAATTCGCTTAGTCTGCAGGTTTGCTGCGGCGGGGGTATTTTACAGTGGAATTGTAATATCATCTACATGAGATTAAATACATAAATTGTATCTTCATTGTGCTTAGTTTTGTAAGGTATAAGTTTTGTACGCTGGTCATGGCAATTACTGTGGATTAATGTATAAACATTCAATATGTTATGAAAAAAAAAAAATTAGCATTTTAATTTTATTTTGTTTTTATTGAATGGTAGGCCTACTGTAACTTTTGATTTTTTATACGATAGTCTCTTTGATTCATCAACCAGTAATAATATTGTCTAAAGACTCTAAACCACATGTTAATTATGTTTTCAAAAACAAATAAAATAACTCAACAAATGTGTTTATTTTATTAAAACATCAAGTCATGAATTCAAAACATTCTTCCTTAGTTACTTACCTGCACAATAAAAATAAAAATTGACATGAAGACTACTTGGGCTGATGGTGTCTACACAGGGATTGTGATGTGGGCATGAACCAACTGTTATGAATCTTTAGGTCTTTAGATAGATATGTCGTCTAACTTGAATGAATACCTAACATTTACTATTGGAATTATCAATACTAAAAAATGTATTTTAAATCAGACAAGGAAATAAAACAATATCAAAATAACCAATTTGTAGGTGTTACGTTTGGCAGTTTGTCTAAAAGTCAGAACTTATTATTGTAATGATTTAATTGTTAGAAGTAGTTCTATTAAGAAACAATGTTAAATTTTATTAAACTATAGAAATTATTGTCATATTTTTTAAGAATAAAAATTATTATTAATATGATTAAAAGTTGGTTAACAGTTTCAGTATTGCAGATACTTCTCTTTACTTCTGATCTGACTACTCCTAATTTAAAGTATTTATTATGTCTGATATACCAAGGTTTTCTACAATAAATAAACAAGGTATACAATCAAATAAGTTCAGAAATCATATTTATTATATATTCAATAAAAAAGCTACACAATAAGATACTTAACATAATTTTCAAACAGCCTTTTTAAAACACATTTGAAAAAGCTTAATTCTTCCAAAACAAAACTAAGTAAAAGCTTTGTTAAAGAAACATGTACATAATATTTAAAGTCATAAATTTGTTTACCAAAGAAATAGGGCTATAATTTAGTATGATTCTGGCTTTGGTTCCTAAATTAACTAAACTAAACTACCTAAATTATTAACTAAGGTATTCAGAATCTTTTATGCAATCAAACATTTAACTCGAGGATCTTTCCTATAATTACAGTTTACTGTGATTCAATAGCCATATTATGAATAAGCATTTTGTGATCTTTAAACAGAACAAGGTCACCTTACTTTAAACCAAATTTACAATATTATCTCCAACCAATAAATGAGTGTATGCTATTACAAAATATATTTTACAACATTTTTTATCAACATTTCCATAAGCCAATCTTATTTGTAAACTTAACATCTCTAAAAACAAGTTTATACTATATATCTATAGATAGTATGTATAATATTATAAGTATATAATATTAAATTCAAAACATTTGTAATTATATGACACACACTTTACTCTTATTCTCAGACAAGGGGATCTTGGAGTCTACCATCATAGATTTGTACATAAATAACATACCCATCAAATGTCTGGAAACCTTAAAATACAACATTTCATTTGTCTTGGGCCTAGTTCCATAGCATCAATTACATTGGTAATATTTTTTTCTTAAGAAATTTACTTGTCGCTACTGCTACTAGTAGATAGATACTTTTTTATAAAGTACGTGATAATCATTTTCGAGCAGTGCAGACTAAGGGAATTTCCAATTTCCCCGTTGAATTTACATTGTTAATCTGTACAGTATTCAAATAGGTTTATAACATGAGGAAATTTATGGATAAATGACTCATCGACTTAGTAAATACAGTACTTACGTTTGCTACAAGGCTCTCATAAAATTCTCACTGGTAAAATTTGTTTAAGCCCACAATAAAATCAAGAAATTTGTCAAATTTGATGAAGATGCATAAATAAACTAGCAAACTTGCATCAAGAGTCAATGTTTTGTGTTTATAACTTTCAACATGTCAGTAAACAATTTGCCTAGGATGGAAATATTAATATAACCTACTAAACTTAGTCTTTGATTGGTTAAAGGTTATATGTCACGTTGATATTTTTGGGAAAAGTGAGATAAACTGATTTGTAGTGTTCAAACAACATCTTGGTTGAAACCACCTTACCCACTGGTAGATTAGCCGTGTTTGTAAGCTCATTTAAGTGAAGGTCGGTTGACGCATTTAGAATCAAAATCAAAGGAACTATATGAATAATTGTGTCTATAGAAACAACTCTATACACTATTTTTCATACAAATATAAGAATTAGAATTTTGTTGGCTTTTAAGGCCCTGAAATGTAGGTACAGCAATTCCGAAAATAGCTCATACCTATTTTGGTCATAATTGTTTTGGCTGAGAAGAGTTTTGAGCTGAGGAGGGTCTCGGTGCCGGATACAATATGTAATGTTTTACTTGAAGGGTTGCAATTTGAATTTTGTTCCTGTAAATTTAGTATTAATAAGCAAAAATATCTCATTATTGGTATTTACAGGTCACCTAGATCATATGTAAATATTTTTCTGGACTGGTTAGATATTTTAATTGAATATTTTAATAAAATATGATAAAAATATTGTAGCAGGTGACCTGAATATTGATGTTTTAGTATCGGATAGCAGACATAGATTGTTACAACAGATGTTAGAAAGCAAAATATGAGGTACCTTGTTGATTTCTCAGCAAGAGTTACAGATAATTCGGAGACAGCAATAGGTAAATTTTTGATAAAGAAAATACATAATTATCTGACTTAAAGGTAGAAGGTCTGGTTACTTTCTTATCTGATCATGATGGAAAGATATTAAAAGTAAAATCCAACATTCTATGAAAACCGTAAATTTGCTGATTAAAAAAGAGTTGCGTAAATTTTCACCTGAAAACATTAATCTTTTCACACAATTACTTTCCAATGAATCTTGGTTCGATGTGTATGATTCCAGGGTAGAAACAAAGTATGATGTCTCAAAAAATTGTCTTTCTATTTTGATCAGGCTTTTCAAAACATATTGGTTACAATAAGAAATAAAAACGTACATGGATAACTAAAGAATTGAAGATGAAACAACAGCATATAATTCAACTCACTAAGGAATATCGTTAATCGTAGTAAAAAAGTATTAGTATAAAATATTTTTCTACACCAGGAAAAGACTAATTATAAAAGAGAACTAAATAAGGCCAAAAAAAATAAAAAATAAATTCCCAAAACATTCAGAAAACCGTCTGGAATATAATCAACTCTGAAGTTGGGGAAAATGACAAGAAACCATTAGAAAATATAATTGGTAAATCAAAATTCATAAGCAATTTTGGACCCATAAATATGTTTATGTATGTTGGACACATAATATGTTTAAGTGTTATTTTAGCAACATGGTTACAGATTTAGATTTAAATTTAAATTGTAACAATCAGAACGTGACGGCTGATGTGAAAGCTGATTTTATCGATGACATGTTTAAGACAAAATTTGAGCTGAAACCGATCTCTGAAAGAGAGGTGGAAAAAATCATTCAATCTTTAAAAAATAAACACTCCAGTGGGCATGACGAAATTCCTGTAACAATAATAATGGCTGCAAAAACCTACATCAGCAAAATTGTATGTCATCTGATCAATTCTTCGTTTGTTTTAGGCATTTTTCCTAACATATTAAAGCGGTCAAAAATAATTCCTTTACACAAAAAAATGACCCTTAAAATATATCCAATTATCGCCCAATGTCTGTTCTTCCTTCAATTTCTAAAGTGTATAAAAAAGCTGTCTACTTACAATTATCAGAGTTTTTTGAAAAATTTAATATTTTGGATGATAATCAGCATGGATTCCGGAATGGAAGATCAGTTGTGAGCTCAGCTGTTTCTTTTATCGAATCAGTCATTGAATCAGTAGACAAAGGACATTATACAATTGGCATATTTATGGACCTTTCTAAAGTGTTTGATAGTGTAAAACATAGTAAATTACTAAACAAATTTAAAAATAATTGGAATATAAAAAAGAGCCCTTAATTGGGTTTCTTTCTATTTGACAAATAGATCTCAATTCGTGGAAATTACCCATTTGACAAATCATAATAGAATTATCAAATCATCATCAACTTATCAACCAATTAAATTTGGGGTGCCACAAGGTTCAATTTTGGGGCCTTTGCTTTTTTTGTGTTACGTTAAGGGCATGGAAGATACTTTGACCTACAAGAAAAATTCTAAATGATGTCTTTACGTTGATGATTCTAATTTGATTGTATTATCTAACTCTCCAGAATAAACTGAAGTTTTTACATATGTAGAATTACAGAATATTGGAAACTAGTTCTACAATCATAACTTATTATTAAATTCACAAAAACTAAATTTATAAATTTCATCCAGTACAGAACAAAATTACAAAAGAGCCAACAATAACTTACAACTCAAATAACATTCAAAAGGAAAATCAAATCAACTTTCTGGGATTAACAATAGCTGAAAAGTTGAATTGGGATAAACACACACAGAAAGTTTTAACCAAAACTAACTCTGGAATGTTCGCATTATTAAAAATGTCCTTTTATTGTAATTTGAAACCCCTAAAAAGTATATATGTATTTTGCTCACATTCACTCCCATATTTCATTGGGTTTAGCATTATATGGGTCAACAAAAATATTAAATATGGATATCATTCTGAAGCGACAAAAAGAGGTTACCTATCAGAATTATGCTTAAGCTTAAACAAGATGATTCGGCAAAAGAACATTTTAAGAAATTACAAATTTTTACAGTTTATGGGCAATATATTTATGAAACAATTGTTATCGCAAAAAAATGAATCCGAACAAGTAATAAATTCAGTGCATTCTTATAATTTTAGGAGGAGAAGAGAGTTTGTCCAGTCTCACAAATTAAATTTTTTTGAAAAAACCCTCTTATGCTGGTACCGATTTTCTAAAAATTGTCCGTGAATTCATAAAAAAATAAACGAACCTATCTAAATTCAAGAAAATTTTAATAGAGCATATAATAAATCTAGCATTATATTCTTTTGATGAATTTTCCTCCCATAAATAGAAATAGTACTTTTGTTTTAAGTATTCTGACACTATTCACTGTACCACCAATGTACATGATTTATGACGAATAAAGATGTTTGAATATGAATATGAATAACATTACGGTAACAACTTCCTCTCTAAAGGTACGTTAGAAAAATTAATTTATTTACTCAATAAAACTCTGTTAGTTATTTTTATCAGATATTTAAGTAAATTTTTTACACCCTGGACAATTGCAATACTCCGGCCCTGAGCCACAGTATCCATTGTTACTGCAACAGTTAAACTTAGTATTTGGCTCACATTCTGCTTCGTAGATTCCATCAACCTTTGGTACTTTTGGGCCACATTTTTCTGCTTTGTCTTCACCATCACTCCGATCACATTACTTTTTAGGTCCATAACGGTAGTTTTTATTTTTCTTGAAGTCAATACAACCGTTGCAAGTGCAGTGTTCTGGTTTACTTCCACAATATCCACCATTGGAGCAACAATATGCATTATCATCATCTGGGTTACACGTTGGAAATACATCTTTGAGTTTGTTTACTTTTCTTCCACATCTGCCACGTTTTCCTTCTTCAGCATTAAGAAAATACCAGGTAACAGGGACAGTTGGTTTGATAGGCTGCTCTAGAATCTTTTGTGGGTTATCTCCATAGTTTTTACAAGTTGGACAGTCACAGTAGTTTTCTCCTGATCCGCAGTACCCAGCGGGTCCACAACAGCTGTAGCCTGGGTCGTCTGGGTCACAGACCGGGTAATATCCCTTATACAACGGTGCAGAACGGCCACAAAGACCAGCCATGTCATCTCCATCCTCTGATGTCCACCAGCGTTTTTCATCTATTGGAGAGCATTTATGATTAATTTCATTTGGGTCTGTTTTGTCACAAAGTCGTGCTTGATAGACAGTATTTAACAATGTGAGGTCATCATCATCAAGCTCAACAGACCATATCATTAGTCCACCCACGTTCTTTTTCACTGCATATTGTACTTTAGCCTCGAGAGATTTTTTGTTTTCATACCCTAAAAATGTTTTATTTGCTGGATTCCAAGCATATGGAGTACGACTTTTCTCGTGGAAATTTTGTTCAAACCCCCCTGTTTCTAAAAACTCAGGTATTTCGTGCCATGCCTTATACCCCCCTTCAAACACACCGTTTACTCTTTCTGCAGTTCTCCACATTCCATCCTTGCCATCTACTGGTTGACCAACATTTTTCCAAAATCTTCCATAGAATGGTAAACCTATATTTATCTTATGCGGCAGTTGTGTTTTACAAGTGTAGTATTTTACTGTCCAATCAACATTTGTTTTACCAGAAAATCTTGGAGGCATTCCAAAATACAAAGGTGATGGAGGTCCTGTATAAGCTCCCCACTTACTTGCCCAGGCTCCAAAATAATCATAGCTCATTATGTTTGCAAAATCAGCATGCTTTAGCAATCCTGGCAAATCAAATCCTGGATCTAGTATCCACTGCCCTGCAGCTCCTACAAAAGACAACAAGAACTTTTCTTCTCTTCTTACCTCACTGGCCAAGTTATCCAAAGCACTTCTTATTTCTTTAATCAGATTAACATAGTTTTGTTTATCTTGTGGAATTCCCTCATTGGCACCTCCAGTTACTGGATATTCCCAGTCAATATCAACACCATCAAATCCATATCGCTGGATCATTTTTACTATGGAGGCTATAAAAGTGATTCTTTTTTGTGGGCTAGCAGCTACAGCACTAAAATACTGAGAATTCTCCCAACCACCTACTGCAAACATAATTTTGACATGAGAATGCAGAGCTGCCAACTCCATTAGATTTTCTAAACGCTCTTTAGAATTTTTTACTTCATCATTAATATTTTGTGCATTTTTTCTATCAGCTGAGCCTACATCTATGGTTCCATCTTCTTTCATTTCTAAAAATGCATAAATTACATGTGTTAATCTCCTTAATTCTCTACCACTTATTTTCTTCTTTCCCCAAGATGTATAGTAACCAATTATACGTTTATTGCAGTTTTGGACATTAACCAGCGCACTTCCCTCGTCTTCATCACCATCTTCTCCACACCCACGTTTGATTGCTCGAGTACTCTTTTTTTTATCTGTTACCTCAGGTAACTGATTAATCCAATAATTTTTCTCTTCTTCTGATAGAGTATCAGCTCTTTCACATATTAATGGGCTTACCGGAAACCAAACCGAAGCATCGTTTCCAACTGCAATAGGACGACCAGCATTAATGGTAGTAGCTGTATGTCTCCACGGGCTTCTTATATTTACATTTAATGCTTGAAGTTCTCTTTGAACCTCGTATTGTGATAAAGGTGTATAGACTTGTTTTCTTCTTAGGTTCTTTTCTGTTTTGTTTGCTGGATGATTGTTACTTGCCATGAAACCAACAACTTGTACATTCAATTTTTTATCTTTGTAGCATACCATTTTCCAATAGCATGAAGGAATTTCAAGTTTATTGATTTTTCCAATGTTCTTGTTACATATTCCGGTAGCAACAAGACTTCGATGTTTCCTGCTGAAACATTCAACTTCAGTTTCTAATCTTTTCCATGGTCCTTTGTTGGTGAATGGATCTTGTGGAGCAAGATTTATATATAGATTTGAACTAAGTCTTGCTTTTTCAGACCACCTCGCAATATTGGCAGGGGTTAAATGTCCTTGATCCCATGGTTTTCCGCTGTAATCTGACGGAGATCCTTGATAACTTGCCAGTTGTGAGCAAGGGAAAGGTTTATAACCCTGAGCTCTCTTTACGTCTTTACTTGCTGCGTAATCTTTACTTCTATACTGAGTACTCTGATGAAGAGCTACAGTCCATACTGGAAGCTTGCGGAATAAGTTGAAAAGTGCAACATAAACTGTTACATATTGTCCAAAAACAGTAGAACCAAGCTTTTGAACCTGAGGGGTTTGTAATGAAACGAGAGGATATGGAATGGGACCACAGTCAATTCTATCACAGGTTGGTGTTGGTATCCATGTTGGCCGCTGATTCTCTCTACCAACACATTTCACTTGGCTATTTGGTTCCTGATATCCAGGTTCACACTCAAAGTCACAAGTTGCACCCTTTTTCCTACTTGAACATCCTGATACTAATGTACGTTGTATAATATTAGGTATACTAACGGGTGGACATAAATTATATTCGTCATCATCTTCATCATCATCACTATCACAACTACCAGGTCTAGGTCTTTTATTTGCCATTCTCTTGGGCCTCTTTTTACAGTTTCTCCTATTTTTATCAACATTTTTTTTACTTTCAGGGACTTTTCTGCTGTTATTATTTACTCTCTCTACATCACGTTTTGATACTTTTTTGGGACCTAATGGTTTCATTTTTACTGCTTTTCCTATAGCTTTTAACCCTTTGCCAATAAATTTCCCACCTACCGGGATCAAAGATGTTGCAATATCTAAAGCTTGACCTTGTAAGAGTTCAGAACCATTCTCCCTTGTTTTGTCCCAATCCCCTGTAACAACTCCATTACCAAGTTCTACTGCATTTGATACATCTTTCACAATTGGTATGTTAACAAACGATTCCTTATCTTGACCAAAGTCCCCTGTAACAACATTTTTTACAGTATTTACAACTCCTTTAGCTGTATCAACGACAGTTTTTGCTGTATCTTTAACAGTGTCAACAAAAACCTCACCAACCTTTTTAAGAGCGTTTCCTATTCTTTTAAAGAAATCTCCAATCCCTCTCTTTTGTCTAAGCTGAACTGCACTGTCACTGTTACCATTGTTTTTATCAAAACGAGTTAAAGATGTTTCTGTTTGCTTATTGTCAGAATCAGGCTGGAAACAATTGAAAATGTCAGAACTTTGGAAAGGGTTAAGCTTATTCAAAGAGTCAAGGGCAAAATCTAGGTTACTTACTTTGGTAAATATTTGTTTATTATCCATTTGCTGAAGAATTACATTATTTGCTGCTGTATCACTAAACAGGTCATAGAAGAAGCATTCTGCTTTATTGCGATCGTGCCTTACCATAAAATGTGAACACCAACTCTTAAATTCACTGTTGCATTTAATGGCACAGTCTATTTCACAGTTTGTGCATGGGCCAAAATTCTGTTTAGCTTTATTTTCTTCTATCGAAAAGCCTGGTGTTCTTACATAGTTAATAATGGGTGAGGTTATATCTGGTTTTTTGAAAACTGTGATAAATCTATCATTCCTTACATATTTAACCTCTTTAGATGAAATTTTGCACATCTTATTTGCATAAGACATTCTTATGTAAGAATTGCTTGAATCAAAAATATTAAAACAATCTTTGAAAGACTTTCCACCTATTTCATGAAAAGAGTTATTATCATTTGATATCCTTTCAATATCGTAGCTGGACAACAAATCGTGGTTCATTATTAGCTTCTGATTTTCTGTAAATATTATTGGATATCTCATTATAAATGTTGTTGGGGAGTTGTTACCCGGAAGGTCCTCGATAGTTAACTGTTTTGTGTTTTTTGTTATTGTGTCATATCCAAGAGCAATACAGAATGAGTCTTTTAAACACGACATCAAAGCACTTTGAATAGATTGTTTGATATTTTCATTTACAACCCATTTACTGTCTGGACATATAATAAGATTATAAAAATAATTTGTGTTTTCAGGGTAGTAACAGGTTTTGCACCCTGTCACTGAATCACACCCAACTCCTGGATATGTGAAACATGATTTAGAATAAAATGCTGAATGAGTTTCATTTCTTATTGAAGCGCACTCGTTCTTTTTTATATCGGAAGTTTGGTCTTGGCCAAAGATTTCTTCTCCAATTTCAATGAACCTAGAACTAGCATCCCTAGAAAGTGGAAGAGATGTTATTTTAAAAGCAGAGATAAATCCATATTGCATGTCTATATATTGTATTTTATCTTGAGAAGTAATCATAACACAGTCCAGAGTCTTTATAGAATACGACACATAATTACATTTATCATCGTGGTTACATTTTTTTAAACATTCTTTGAAGTTTTGTTCTCGTGATTGTTTGAAACCCTCTCCTGTTATGGAAGTATGTCGAAAATAAGACCAGTTTTCCAAAACCCCCATTGGTTGTGTCATAAAGACGGTTGTCCATTGTGAGCTCTGTGTGAAAACACCAATTGTATTATTGAACATATAGCAAGTACGAGTGGAATAGTCATAGCTAAATGCCACACAGTCATCTCTGTCAAAGCAATAACCGAAACATTCCGGAAAGAGTAAATTAGATTCAACGTCCAAAGGCTCATTTGATAAGAACACATTTACAAACCTTTTTTGTGGAAAGTAAGGGCACAAGTCACAAGTGCGAATTCCTTCATTTTTAATTTTGAGTATGGACTTCTTTTCTACATCAATAGCTATACACGGTAAACTGTCTGGTTCTACTGCAAAATCTTTACCTTTGATTAATAAGTATTTAACAAAATTCTGGAAAGATTCTCCTGTAATTAAGTTTGTATCATCATCATCGGGTATTTGTTTGCTTTCACAACACTGAAAAATGTCTCCCTGTCCTTCTCCGCAAGACTGGGAGCCAATTTGCAGCATCCAAGGAGGGCAACCCCTGATGGTCCAGTGTGATGGTTGGCATGGAGACCAAACACACTCAAGATCGGTCGTCAATGGCGGCTTTGGATGGTTACTATCAAGGCAGCAAAAATATTTGTGACCATTGTCACAGTCTTGGATATTATATTGCACGAGACTATATTGTTCGCAACCTGTCACTTTCCAGTTGTTGGGTTGACAACCAGTCCACCAACAACCAGTTTGAGGGGCGCGAGTTGTTGTTGTGTCCAGTGTACAACAGTAGTATTCTGAACCACCTTTACACCCTCTGATGTCTTGCTGAGTCCTATTGTACTGGCCACAACCAGTTATAGCCCGGGTGTTTGGTTGACATCCGCTCCACCAACAGTCATTTGCTGCATAAGAGAGATGGAAGAGCAGGAAATGTATCAAAAGTAGGATCATTGCTGTCAATTTAAGTAATCACTTATTGCACTTCATCATACCTCTCTTAGAAGACTTGTGTTGGTTTTGGCGCAAAGTTAAGGCGGTACAACAACGATTCTGAAAAAAAAAAACACACATCTTGATATAAAGTAGTGTATACAGATGTACAATGATATTACAACCAACAGGAAACCCTATATCAATAAATATTGGAGGGTAGTCATAGAGACAATTGTGGACGACGAACTAACTTTCAATACCAGTAGTTTTAATTTTAGAAAGAATGTTTGAATACACACCCGTAGGTAAAATGTAAATTTGAAAGTAAGGTTTGTTTCAAAGCTAAGAACATGGTTAATTTGGAATCTGACTCCTGTATATTATTTAGAAGTCAAAACTACTTCGCCTATTGCCAATGGTACTTGTAAGTTTCTTGTATGTTTTTGTTAAAGAAATTTCCCTTGAGCAAAGCTCTATCATGATAATATGATGCATGTTAAAATATGCATTGGTTCCTTTCACTAGGTATTCATTCTCAGGTCCTCAGAAACCAAAAACAATTTTCTTAATCTTTACTCAAGGTAAGACTGTAAAACAGATAAAAAAATGAACTGCATTAAAAATTTGAACGTTTAGAAAATATAAATTTGTAAAAAAAAATCATTCTCACATTTAAAGTTTCAGTTAGAGTATTCCCTTAACCATAAAACTTGTTTCAACTTAGGAAAGTTATGAAAGTCGACCTTGCATATACACGTATAAACTATATTTGTTTACATTTTTCATTGGATTTCTTATAAGATTCACAATTTTTGGGTCAAATTAATGCTCAAAAGTCAATTGTTGTTTATTGTTTATGTCAAAAGTATGTGAGTATTTGCATTTTTCAAATCAAACAGCATGTAAATCATGTGACAACCTTGTAAGCTAAAACCTGAGTTGCTGAAAAACTTATTTTCTTTCCTACGTTGATATTTATGACAATGTCTAAAACGATAATATTGTTTATGTTTTGTTCAATAAACGAAACAGTATTTTGATTGTAAACTGTTTTAACCAAAGTAAAACAAAAATAAACAAAATAAAAAGCTATGATTTAATAAAAGTTAGAATGCTTCTACTCTCCATTGTCTATTGAAAGGGGAGCAAAATAAGCTGGTCTAGTGGTTAGAGCGCGGGACTGAGATCCCGGGTTCAAATCCCGCCAAATCACCAGTGGATTTTATCTAAGTGATAATGCGCAACCCTTAGGTTCTATATAGCCTGAAGTAGTGTGAAAAACAATTCCAGGCTCGTGCCTAACCTTTTTTGACATACAAAAAAAGTTGTCTATTGAAAAATATCAAGCTTGAGAGTTTCAGAAGCCATAGAGAGGTTCAGTTCGCAAATTGATTAGACAAATTGATTTGATCTATTCATAACAGTCCAAAGTTTGCACGACTTCATTTCCATATAATTTCTGCCCCCATCAAAAGCAAACCCTCAAATCTGGAATCGGAATCTACGCACTTAAGAAAATGTCTTAATACTGTGAGTTAGAGACAATACTCTTTAGTTATTTTTTATACATTCACTCACACTTAAGTTTTGGACTTTTTTTCCAACACGAAAAATAAATTCGGACAGTAGGGTCTACCCTAAAACAACAAAAAACAGTCATAATATATTCTTAAACTAGATTATGAATTATCAATTAGCCAAAGAGGAAGACTTCGAAAATCCTGAAATTTCCACAGTTTATGGACAATACATCTATGACTGCATACTAATTTCTAAAAATGAGGCACAAGTTCTACATCTTCCATATGCTATAAGTAATACAAGACATAAAAATGAAATAATCCCAACTCATAGTAGATTAAAATTTTACAATTTAAAAAACCAGCATATTTTTATGTACCGGTATTTACAACAAAAATCAAGTAAATAATATTGACTCAAAGAATTCATAACAAACAAACAAATTTTTCGACCTCTGTTGGCAACAGAACTTATCCTCAAGAAGTTTGTATGATTGACAGGCGAAGATTGCGTACACCAAGAACTCGGAAATCAGTTTTTACTGATTTAAACATACAAGTTACTAATTATATTATTTAGTTTAACTTGCAAACATTTAAACTCAATGTTAAACAATAAATGGGGAACGTGTAAAGCAGCCAATCAAATCACAGCGTATGACTCCTATACGCCCGTCTCTTTTGCTAAGGCTCTATAGACAGAGTGGTAAATAACTAGTGTTCGTCAAACTACAGGGAAACAGCTGTTTTCAATTGTGCATCTATCTGTATATATAGGCCTACTATAATACGAGTAACGTTTGTGCACAATCCTATATATAATACGAGTAAAGTTTGAATACTTGTCAACTCGAACTGGGAATCGGCCCTAACAAAAACGTTTATATTTACGGAATAACTAAGTTCTGTGTCAAAAATAAGTTCTAGACCAGTGGTACAGTATTATGTTTTTAGAGGCCAACTCGAGTTCTAGATTAATAGTTATGTTTTATTAGTAGGCCTAGCACAAAACTGCATGATGCATCAAACGACAATTAACTAACCAATTTATTAAAATCAATTAATTGGTAAGTCAATTAACAAATATGGTAGAGGAAACCCGATCTCAAATATAGGGAAATAAACTATAGAATATGATATTAACTATTATACAACATTAATTCTTATACAATGGCCCACATTTAAAAAAATAAAATACTGATATAGTAAAAAGTAGTAATGATACCTACTATTTTTAAATGCAGAATTTTTATTTTGGATTTTTTAACTGTGTCAGTAGTGCGAGTTTATTCAGGCCTACAATGGTTTTCAATGACAGGGCCGCGCACAAAATGTTGCGCCAATAGCACCAATACGTGAGCACGATAAAATGGGTTCCGTGTAAATTCATTATTGGTATTTTCCCAATTACATCGTTACTCTTACAAAGTACGCCTTTACTTGTTTTGAATAATAATACCATTCTTAATGTCATTCAAATCTTTTCAAATTACAAACTCTCCCTTTCACTACTATTCTATGTCGGTGGTCTGAGCTACAATTTACTGCATAGAAACGCTTTTAGTAACAGGCTGAAAACAGGCATAAACCACGTCTACTTCAACCTTTCCCTATATTTTAGACTATATTTTATAATATCATGGAAATTGTAAATATGTAGGCCTATATTAATTTTTTTAATGTCCCCTACACATTGATCACCACGAGCAATGCTCGGTCCCCTGGTACTCATGTATCAGAGAAAAACTCTAAAAAAATAAATACACAACAAAAGTTCTTCGTGCATTTAAAAAACGTAAAGACATGGAAGCACGGGATTTTAGCCAATGGCCCTTCATCGCTGCGATATAAGAACATTTAAATTATTAAACCGATGTACTCATTACGATAAATTTATTAAATAAATAAGATTCGGTAGTGCCAAACATCAAGGATTACATATATGTAAAAAGTAAACATAGTTATCTACCCTGTCCTAAAGTAGGATAGTATTGTATTTATTTAAGTGTTTTCATCAGCAGACGCATATGCAGCACTTCCCTCTTTCTGCTGATTTAATACAATTAATCAAAAAGTAATACAGCAATAAAGTACAGCAAAGTTCTTTTAGCGAATTTCCCTATAGGGAGGTAGCTATTACCGTAGGTGGCACGGTGAGACCTAGGCCCAGGACCGATTTAAATTTTAATTTTGATGACCCCATAGGCCAAAAACACCATTCCTTCAAATATATATATACATAAGTCGGTGAACGCGATAACTTGAGTAATTTTTGTCTGGTTTTGATTAAATTTGGTTTAAAGGTGTAAGGCGGGATAAACTTGAATGAGTTCGCGAACCAGCACGATCGAACCATGGGAACGAGGTTTTACGGGGGGTTTTATGGGGTAAAAAATTGTTTTCTCAATTTTGACCCAAAACAATAAATTCATAATTTTTCAGACCTTTTTAAAGAACTTAAAAAAACAATAATTTAGTATATATAAGTGTTTTTGTACGGTTATTGGTAACGGAGAAAATTCAAAAAATTGTAATTGGATATATTTTGATCAAACTTGGCAAATTTATTTATTGTATACTAAGCTATTAATATTTTATTAAAAACCTCACTTCAAAAGTTTCCTTATAGCAGTAAACCTGGGTATTCGTTAAACTTATTTTTATTTAAATCGATTTAATAAAAAACCAATTCAGACAAAATAATGGAAATTCACTTAGTCGGTAGGTTTGCTGTGGCGGGGGTATTTTATTTTGGTCTTAGTTTATATTTTTAAGTTGTATATTTTGTATTCATAATCGTTTATTTAGTTTCCTGTGGATTATGTTGAAATAAACATATTATTTCGTTAATTAATCTATTCATTTCGATCAGTTTCTTTTTTTTTGTAAGATAAAGTGATATGCTTAACAACTATCTCTTTCTCTTATATTAATACGTGAGGGCTGTTTTTTGTGAACAAAACTCCTCCGTTATTTCTGGACCGATTTTAACTTTTGAGGTGTCAAATAGTTCGTCTCAATTATTAGTTTTGCATAAAGGTTTTGAAATTTAAAATCTCTTACCCTTAAGGGCACGAGACGCTCTTAAAGGTCGCATTTCCGAAAACAAATTTAAAAACAGAAACAGCTGTATATACAAATAAACTCACCAGCTTTTTGGGAGTAAATATTGATGTTTGTAATATTGAGGAGGTTATAAACAAATCTAAACAGTTTAGTTAATCAGTATTTTATTTCTTATCAAATGGTTTTGTTGAAAGAACAGACAATTTCTTGAATTTAAAGGAGAAATACTGTATTGAAAACAGGAGGAGAAGACAATCAATAGGAAATCTTATACTTATGAGAATAGTAGAGGATCCCTGGTCTCACAGTAAGGAATCCAGGTACACAATCAATAGGGGAGATGAATAATTTTTGCCAGTTATGCTAAGCAACTTATTTTGAAAGTAAAAAAAACCCCAAGAAGAATATACACATCATGTTGTCACAGTGGTAAAGTAAACCTACCTAAAGTCAGATCAAATAAATACATGCAAGACATGTTTACTGGTAACAGCTTTATGCCGAGTAAACATTTGTAGA